TTCCTCCTGCCTCGTCCTCATCCTCGTCGACGCGATGGCGTCCGCGTGAGGGGAGCCGAACGACGGAGCGGCGGGAGCATTTGGACGAGAGGCCTCCTCGCGGCGCTTTGGCGTGCATGGCGCCGGCCGGGCGGCCGAGCTGGGGGGCTTCGTCATGATCGCGGTGTCGTTTAAATGCCGATGTCAGATCCTGCGCAGGGTGAATAAAGGTACGGCGACATGGAGGCGCGCGCACAACGACGGAGAGAGCGACAGGGATGACGCCAACATTGACTGGAAATTGCTCGCTGATGGACAATTGTGTGTGTGTGTGTGGGGGGGGGGCGCAAAACAGCTTTCCTGTGTGTGTTTGTGTGTGTGTATGTGCGCGCACGCGCGCGCGCACACAAGAGAGAGAGAGAGATGTAAAATTCATGCCAGATAACCAGGAAGACTAAGTCGCGTGCACGCGCATGTCGAGTGCAGGAGTTGAGGGATCGTAGCAAGACGAGAGACCGTACCTCCGCGTTTCCGTCATCCACGTCATCTTTATCCTCTTCTGTGGCTTCATCTTCCATCTTCTTCTTCTTTTTTTTTTTTTTTGAAGCCGTTTATGTGTTGCGCTTGCAGATGAAGGTCCGTACACCAAACACTCGGCGGGCTCGCGTCCGTCGGACGGCGCGCTGGCCATCCGGAGGCAGAGCATACCAGGTAAGGCCCGTCCGTGCCCGCGGGGGCCTCGCCGCCGAGAAGGAAGCCGGCGCGCTCACGCTGCCTGCCGTCCTCAGATGAGTTCCGGGGGTGCACGCTGGTGGAGCTGATGAAGAAGGAGGGCACCACGCTGGGGCTGACCGTGTCGGGCGGCATCGACAAGGACGGAAAGCCGCGGGTGTCCAATCTGAGGCCGGGAGGAATCGCCGCCAGGTAGTGCCGCTCGGGCCTTTCGAGGGAAGACCGAGGGGGTCGTCTCCGGAGGAAATCTCTCCATCGCGTAGTCTCGCCGCGGCCAGCACGTCCCTGAGCTTCTCTCTCCTTGCGCTGGTTGCGGATGTCAGGAGCGACCAGCTGAACGTGGGCGACTACATCCGCTCCGTGAACGGCATCAACTTGGCCAAGTTCCGCCACGACGAGATCATCAGCCTGCTGAAGAACGTGGGCGAGCGCGTGCTGCTGGAGGTGGAGTACGAGCTGCCGCCCGTCTGTACGTGCGCGCCACCTGCGGCCTCGCCTCGCCTCGCCTCGCCTCCGCGTCCCCTCGACCTCCACCCGGCACGCTGACGTCTCTTTGCGTTGCAGCCGTGCAGGGTTCCGGCGTCATGTTCAAGACGGTGGAGGTGACGCTGCACAAGGAAGGAAACAGCTTCGGCTTCGTCATCAGAGGTGCGTGCGTCTTGGCCGCCGCCCCCGCCGCCGCCGCCCGGCTCGCGGTGACATGCCTTGTGCGTCGCGCAGGCGGAGCCAGCGAAGACAGGAACAAGTGTCGGCCCGTCGTCGTCGCCACCGTGCGCTCGGGAGGGCCGGCCGACAGGTGAGCGCAAGGTTCTTGCTCCCAAAGTGAGCGTTGGAGGTCTTCGGTGAGCCAATTCTCGTGCGCGTAGGGAAGGGAGCATCAAACCTGGCGACCGTCTGCTGAGTATCGACGGCATCCGTCTCCACGGCAACACGCTGGCGGAGGCCATGAGCGTTCTGAAGCAGAGCGGACAGGAAGCGACCATGCTGCTGGAATACGACGTCTCCGTCATGGGTCGGCACGCACACGAGAGAGACACACACACACACACACACACACACACACACACACACACACACACACACACACACACACACGTAACCTTTGCCCCTCCGCTTTCAGATTCGGTGTCTTCGGCTTCGGGTCCTCTGCTGGTGGAGGTCGCCAAGGCAACAGGCTCCAGTCTGGGCGTGGCTCTGTCCTCGTCCATGTTCTGCAGCAAGCAGGTCATCGTCATCGATAAAGTGAAACCGGCCAGCATCGCCGACAGGTGACCTTTACGCGACGCGCGCGCGTGCGCATCCACACGCTCGCGTCCTGACGGACAGCGGCGCGCACAGATGCGGCGCCCTCCACGCAGGCGATCACATCCTGTCGGTGGACGGCAAATCCATGGAGTTCTGCTCCCTGGCCGAAGCCACGCAGCTGCTGTCCGCGTCCTGCCACAACGTGCGCATGGAGATCCTGCCGCAGCACCAGGCCCGACCGGCCCTGAACGCGCCGCAGCAAGGTGCCCGCACACGCGCGTTACGTCTCGCTGGCTCGGAACGCACCATGGTTAACAAACGGCGGACTAACAGCACGCGCGGAATGCCCGAGTCGCCCCGAAGGCGACGAGCCCGTTGGAAATCTTCCTCCTCCCGTGTTAACCCGAACGCTTCCCCGCATGTGTGTGTGTGTGTGTGTGTGCCCGTGTGCAGTCAAGGTGCAGCGTTCTCCCCGCCCCCTCCCCTGGGAGACCGGAAGCTCCGCCCCCATCCTTCCCCCTTACCACTACAACACGTACCATCCCGACCAGTCGGGCGCCAGGTCGCACAACCGCCATCCAAACGAGCCGTGTACGTCCGCCGCTCGCCCCCCCCCCCCCCCCCCCCCTCCCGCCCGCTCTCGTGCGCGTTGACCTGCGAGTGTCCGCCGCCTTGACGCCCGGCTGTGTTTGCCCCACCGCGCAGCGCTGGGCCACACGTTCTCGCCGGGCTCCATGTCGGCCTACAGCCTGTCGTCCCTCAACATGAGCGTTCCCAGGAACGCGTATCCTACGAGTCCGCGGGGCACGCTGGTGCGCAAGAAGCCGAAGAAGAAGGACTTCAAGAGCTCCCGTGAGGCACATCAGCAGCACGCAAACATTCGCCCGCCCGGCGACTCGGCGCTAAGCGCGGCCGCTCGTGACGCCTTGTTTTGCTCTCGCCTCGGCCGGCTCGCGAGGCGCCGTTTCGCTCGCCTCCCTCGAACGCGTTTTTGGCGATGCCGAGATAAACGCGAGCTTTCCGTGTCGTCCGTCTCTGGGCCAGTGTCTTTGGCATCCAGCACGGTGGGTCTGGCCGGTCAGGTGGTCCACACGGAGACCACGGAGGTGACCCTGCTGGGCGACGGCATCGCGGGCTTCGGCCTCCAGCTGCAAGGCGGCGTCTTCGCCACCGAGACGCTCTCCTCGCCGCCGCTCATCGCTTACATCGACCCCGACAGTCCCGCCGAGAGGTTGACACGCGCAGCTCGCCGCCCGCCTGCCCTATTCGCGTCACGTCTGGAAACGCGCACGCATGTGTCGGTGTGCGTAGGTGCGGCATCCTGCAAATAGGCGACAGGATCTTGTCCATCAACGGAGTCCCGACTGAAGACTCCACTTTGGAAGAAACCAATCAGCTGCTCAGAGACTCCTCCATTCCCGCGCAACTCACCCTGGAGATCGAGTTTGACGTGGCCGGTATGCGCGCTTTGCACGCGACGCGCCAGGGAGGTGGCCTCGGAAGATGAGCGAGCGCTTTGTCTCCTCCAGAATCGGTCATCCCTTCCTCCGGGACGTTCCACGTGAAGCTCCCCAAGAAGCCGGGAGTGGAGCTGGGAATCACCATCAGCTGTGAGTCGATTGCGGCCGCCTCCGCGCGGGCGTGGCGGGCGGGCGCTGAACGTGTGGCGGTGCCGTTGCAGCTCCATCCAACCGCAAAGCGGGAGACCCCCTCATCATCTCCGACATCAAGAAGGGCAGCGTTGCTCACAGGTGAGGACTGGCGCTCGGAAAAGAAGCGAGACCTTCCTTCTCAACGCGCCGGCCGGCCGGCCCTTGTGTTTTGGGAGGACGGGCACGCTGGAGCTGGGAGACAAGCTGCTGGCCATCGACAACGTCCGCGTGGAGACGTGCTCCATGGAGGAGGCGGTGCAGATCCTGCAGCGCTGCGAGGAACTGGTCAAGCTCAAGATACGCAAAGACGAGGACAACTCCGGTAAGCGGCCTCCCCGGCCGGCCTCGCACCCTTCGCTGCACGCACACGCGCACGCACGCACGCCCCCGCTGTGCCTTCCAGACGAGCAGGAGGTGTCGGGGACCATCATCTACACGGTGGAGCTGCAACGCTACGGAGGCCCCCTGGGCATCACCATCTCGGGCACCGAGGAGCCTTTCGACCCCATCATCATCTCCTCGCTCACCAAAGGAGGCCTGGCAGAGAGGTCGGCAACGTCGTCGTGTCTCGCCGTACCCCCGCATTTGGGGAGCTTGAATCCTTGAAAACGCCAATTTGAAGTGTCGCCCTGAGACTGGCCAATTGGTCGGAGCGGACTCAAATCGCGGGCTGTCCCCGCGCACGTTGGCCTCTAGGGGCAGTGTGGCGCGCAGATCTGGAAGAAGTTGTGCCTTCGCGTGGCGCTGTGCGATCGCCGCCGACGTTTTAAGCTCCGCGAAGGACGAACGCTCCCCGAATTTGCCGTCGGCACCTGGCCGGCATTTTACATCGGCTTTCGCACCGGAGCCGTTTTGCGTTTTGGAACCGCGTGTCCTCCTTTTTGCCGTGCGTTTGCTTTGGCTTCGGGCACGCTCGAGGGGGACAGAATCATCCGCGCCTCACGGGCTCTGCGACGTCGACGCTTTCGCGGCGCAGAGAACTTGTTTTTTTCGCCACGTTTCAAAGATGGAGCATCAGATTTGGAATGAAATGTGCGCGCAGGACGGGCGCCATCCACGTGGGCGACCGCATCCTGGCCATCAACAGCAGCAGCCTGAAGGGCAAACCGCTGAGCGAGGCCATCAGTCTCCTCCAGCAGGCGGGCGAGACCGTCACGCTCAAGATCAAGAAGCACGGCGAGCGTACGTCCTCGCCATCGGGGGGGGCGGAGACGCCGCGGACCTTAACGTGCGCTTGCGTCCACGCAGTGTCCAGTCCCAAGTCCTGCGTGATCGGCCCGGGCCAGGAAAACCACGACGGCGAGGGGGGAGAGGAGCCGGCGGTCGGCGCGGCTCCCCCTTCGGCTCAGAGGGCGTTCGAGTCCTGGGACGGATCCGACGCGGACGCCGGCTTCGCCGCCCCGGGTACGTGCGTCCGCGTCGTCGCCGTCGAGCGCGTCTCCATCACGCCGTGACGCGCGCCGCGTGCTTTCAGCTCCTTCCTTCCACTCGTCGCCGTTCCCCTTCCACGAGTGGCGCAACGCCAAGACGAGCAACAACAGCCAATCGCCGGCCTCCTCTCGCCAGCGGGGCGATCCGCTGGCGGATCTGTCGTCGGGCCTCGGCGACGACTGGGAACACGTCACGCTGGGCGGGTGAGCCACCGTTGAGATTCCGCCCCGTCGTTCGCGTCCCTCGCTGAAGGCAACGACGGCGGTTTGCGTGGCCCCGCGTGCCGTTACTCGATGAGACAACGGTTACGCCTCTGCATGCAACTGACCCGTGGGGACGGGGGCTGGGCCGTAGGTTCACGGTGGGTCACGACGGGACGGAACCGGACCAGGAGGAGAACTTCTGGTCTCAGGCTCTGGAGGATCTGGAGACATGTGGACAGAGCGGAATCCTCAGAGAACTGGAGGTACACACACACACACACACACACACACACACACAAATGGCAGGCCAGATGGGGCGGGACTTTGTCAAGTAGAAAGGGACACAAAAAGCTTGTTGGAATTAAGGTGGGGAAAAAAAAATAAGAGCGCTTGTTTTCCAGGAGCCGCAAAAGGAGACGGCGCCGGTCACTGGGGTATCGTCCCTGCTTTGCGCTTCCTCTTCCTCGCCTGCGCTCATCAATCGTCTCTTTCCTGCCGCCGCCTTGGCGTTTTCTCCCGCGCTCTAACACGTTGGCTCTTTTTGACCGCAACCCTTCCGGTGACATTTCACTGGCTTGTTGTGACACTTTTAGTGCCGTTCTATTCTTTTTGGCGGCGTTGGCATTTATGAACGTTCAGAGATTTTTTTGGTCACCTCAACGCATTTTCGGAACACTTCGGTGGCATCAAAGTTATTTGAGTTGATGTGATGTGATTTTTACTGACATTGAAGTGGCTTTTGATTGAGTGGCATGAATTGAATGAAAGTCTTTGTTGGGGGGGGGGGGCGGAGGTTGACTTTGAGCTCATCTCTTAGTGACATTTAGAATACCCCCGTGACTTTTTTTCGACATGAAAGCGTGATTTGCTGTCATGTAAGTCATTTTTGGTGACACGAGTCAGCTTGGGAGTGGTCTGGCATGCCGATGGGTGAGCGAGGCATGCTGGGAGGTTTGCGGGCATTTGCGCATGCACCCGGTTGACTACAACGGTGGGGCAGAAAAGACAAAAGTATTTTTTGGGGTGGCGCTGACGTGGACGTGCGATGGCTCGTCTCCAGGCCACCATCATGTCCGGCTCCACCCTCAGCCTGAACCACGAGCCGCCGCCCCCTCGTACCTCGCTGGGCCGTCAGGCCAGCTTCCAGGAACGCAGCAGCGCCCGCCCCCAGGTGGCCGCCGCCGCCGCCGCCGCCGCCAGCCACACGTGACCTCCACCAAGTAAGACCTGACTGACTCTGCCGCCCCTTAGGTGAGCCCACGCTCCAACACCTTGCCCTCCGACCCCCAGCGCCGAGCCTTCGCCATGAAGAAGATGAGACAGGAAGTCAACGACATCCTCAACCAGACGCCGGTAGAACTTCACAAGGTGAACGCGCGACGATCTCTTTTTTTTTTTTTTTTTCTTTCTTCCCGTTGTAAAAGGCCTTTGTTTCCGCCTCATGATCAGTGGCTTTTACAGTGTGTTGACTACGGCTCAAGACAAAAAAAAGAAAGGGACGGCCAACCGCACCTGATTAGTGAGAAATTGTAATAACATCTTTAACCACTAGATGGCAGACGCCAGTTCATAGTGGGGAAAAATGCAGTTTCAAACTTGTGTGCTATCAGCGGAAAATAAGCCAAGAACAGAAAGGGGGGGGGGGAATCAAAGTTTTGAATGACATCATAGTTGTTTGATTTTTTTTCCCACAAGCAAAGGCGGGGGCGGCGAAACGATTGACAAATGGCACTTTTGATATTTGACGGACACGCGTGTTGACATGTCGCAGCTGACTCTGGAAAAGTCTTCCGATTTGGAGGACTTTGGCTTCAGCGTGTCAGACGGAGTTCTGGATCGCGGCGTTTACGTCAACAACATCCGCGGTGGCGGCCCGGCGGAGCGCGGAGGCCTGCAAGCGTACGACCGCCTCCTGCAGGTAAGCCCAGTCGCCGCAAAATCAGTCGCTTTTTTTTTTTCTTTCGAAACACAAGTTGTGGTATATGTGTTCAGATCAACCACGTGCGCACTCGGGACTTCGACTGCTGCTTGGTGGTACCGCTCATCGCCGAGTCATCAAACCGCTTAGATCTGGTCATCAGCCGAAACCCCGCCTCCTCGGCCAGCCCACTGACCAATCACGCAGAAAGCACCGACAACAGCCACGCCCCTCAGCTGATGGGTCACCAGAAGGAAGGGCGAGAAGACGCGAGCGAGGACGGCGCGCCAATCAAGTGGAAGAAACCTGGGGACGGGCTGGGGGTCGGCTTTGGGGCGGGGCTAGTCACCAACACTTCAGTATAGGGACTGAATGGGCCACGCCCCCCTTGGTGCTTCACACACAACCTCTGAACTTTGAGTTTCTAAAGCAGCCCGAAAGCACACGCGCACATCCCGGTCCTCATCCTGATCTGAATTCTGATCCGATTCCTGTCCCACTGGACCCTCTGACCCCATCCCCGATTGGATTCCGATCCCAATCCAGACTGCACTACGGATTCTGATTTTGGTCCCAGTCCTCATGCCACTACTAATCCCAACGCCAATCGAATGACAAATCCTGAATCTACTACTGATACTGGTCTTGAGCCCAGTCCTGATCCCATTCTGGATCCCGCTCGAAACCTGGATATCCCGACTGATTCTGATCCCACCCGAAGTTATCATCGCCATCTCACTACTGATTCTGATTCAACTCCAAATCCTCATCTCACTACTGATCCTGATCTGGCAGCAAATCCAGATCCCACTACTCGTGCTGATACCAGTCCAAGTCCAAACCTCCCGGTCCCACTCCAGATCACGCTATTGATCCGGATCCACTCCAAATTCTCATCCTACTGCAGATCCGGGTCCTAAGCCGAATGCAGGTGCCACGACTGATGCCGGTCCCCCTCCAAAACCTGATCTCACTGCTGATCCTGATCCCGGTCTTTACCAACCATTAATCGCATTGCTATCCCCAACTCCTGATCCAAGTGGACCCTCAGCCTCCTCTCCGGTCTTCGGGGGACATGTTCTGGAACAGGAACCAGAATTCTAAAAGAAGCACAGCAGCAGCACACTGACTGAGGATGGGTCGCGCGCCAAGGAGATGACCAAACACCAACGAATGGATTTCTCCTGATCCAAAGCAAATGGAGTATCCGTATCGGAACTGGACTTGCCATGAAAATGCTCCTGGAGTGGAGGAATGTGTGAAAAAAAACAAAAAAAAAACATGATAATATAAACTTAAGAATCATTGTGATTACACTGACAGAAACTGAGCAGTTATGATTATAATTATTATTATTATTTTGGGCGGGGGGGTTTAAAATTTACACTTGTTGACTGGCCACACTGTGTAAGTCTGAACTTGGGTGCGTGCGTGTGTTGTCCCGTCCCCCGTCCCCGCCACTCACACACTCTGTTAACCCCACCCCTCACCGTCCCTCAGCCAATAGGCTGACAGGCAGAATGACCCCATTCCACAGATTGATCCATCAATGACGCCTAACTGATTGGTTCTCTTCTGACCACACACACACACACACACACACGCACACACACACACACACACACACACACACACACACACACACACACACACACACACACAGGCCAAAAATGAGCATGACCCCACCCCTCCCTCCAGTAACTGTGAACTCTTATGCTAATTAATTGTGTTTTGTCACTTTTCTCTGTTTGTTTGTTTGTTTGTTTGTTTGTTTGTTTGTTTGTTTGTTTCCATGACGACCGGACCTCACAAAGTCCCAAAAAGAAAACAAAGGTTGAGTCCTCCTCATCGACGTGGTTTCTGTGACATTTTAACATTTTAGGAAACATGCTGTGACCCGTGCGTGACGTCAACATTAAGCTGCTAGCTCTCTTGCCTCATTAGGAAGTCGACATTTTCATACGGCTCTGAAAAAAAGAAGACAAAAAAAGAATATGCTGCTCTATTGACTTGTGATTGGCAGCCGTTTGCTTGGGTGTGATTGGTCGCTCGAATTAATTTTAGTTAGCCGTGAAGCTGTTTGAAGCACGGCGCCCACTTGTGGCGAGCAAACAAAGCGCACACAGCTACCTTGTGGTGAACAAGATGCTTAGCACAAGGCTAACACAGGGCTCGCTCATTGCCACGGCTGAGCTAACTTCAACGAAAAAGAGTTGGCGTTGACAATTTCCACCCAAAGAAAGGGGCCTTGGGGGCGTGGCTTTAGGAATGCGCGCCAGAAAGCCATACACAGACAGACACGCGCACGCACACACACAACGTGTTGTTTGTAAGCGTGTATTGTGCGTGCACAACGTGACAGGATTTTGCACACGCACACGCACATTGTACTGCCATCGGAAAAGGAGATTTGACTTTCATGTAGCTTCACCAACCAAACAAACAAATAAACAAGTGAACCAACGTCTTTTGTTTCAGGAACACTGATGATGTTGTAAAGTATTTTTGTACAAATTTCATACTTTGGTAGCATGATGTTCCTGCTGTGTGTCCTGCTGTCTCCACCTTTCTTTGTGTGGTTGACTACTGAGCAACAATAAACACCCAACGACTCATGAAGCCTTTCCCACACACTTTTTGGACTTGATCGTGTCATTGTCGAGGAGTGTTCACGCGCGCCTACACACACAAATCCTTTCTACGTTCTACTCCTTCAGCACTGATTCAAAACACTCCAAGAAGTCCCACGTGAAAGGAATTGCACCATTTTGACGATAAAAGGTCCTGATTTCTTTTTTTTAAGGAAAAAAAATCACAGAGAAATATTTACATTTTAGCCAACTCCTTGCACATTTGTTGTCTGAATCAAACAATTGCAACTTCAGTGTTCCTTCCATTCATGTCATCTTTGGGAACTACTTTCCCATCATCGCTGCCAAATTCTACACTTCACCCAAATTGAGCAATTTTACACATTTACCACCTTCAAAATGCCTTGACTTATTATGTCTTTTACAACTTCAAATTGTTCAGCTGGTACAGAACTACTCTATCTACACCACATGAGTGTCCATAACCAAACCATTAAATTTTTTTCAACACGTTAAAAATCAGACAGGCAAGCAATTATATTTACATTGTTTGTATTTTCTAGATATTTTGAAAAGTTCCAACACAACAGCATTCTGTTAAGGAAAATTATTAAGAATTTCTCAAGATATCAGGGTGGCCAACGACTACGGTGGCCGACAGGGGTAAACGCGGTGCAAACACAAAATGTGAACAAAAAGACTTTCATTCTGAAAATCACATAAAACTCTGTAAAACAAAAACGCTGCGAGTACACATTGTTGCAAATGACCAAAAGCTATAAAGACTGGAATGATGAAAAGAAAAAAAATATCAAAACACATAAATGGAGAAAAGAAACACAACATTTAAGAAATAAATGCTGTAATCAATCTGCGGTGCCCCCCCCCCCAGTGGCCTGAATATGCATCTTTTTATTCCAAGTTGCCGTTCTTTATTTACATGTCATGAATTTCCGCTGCGTTTTTTTTTTACATTTGTATTACTCATTTACATATGTATCCGATTAAATGGCGCCCGGGCTGTACTCTAGACACTCCTGATCTATTTCATTGCTTAAATTCCGAAATTTTCACAATTACTCATGTAAATTAACATGAGTAATTCAGCAAGATTCACGGGTTCAATTGTCGCCCCTTGATTACGTCACCCTCTCAATTTTACTTAAAAAGTAATACATTGTGACTTACAGCACATATCACTTTTATTTGGTTTTATTAGTAAGACTGTTATTCTTACAGTTTATTGCAAGGTTATGAATTATTATTATTATTTTTAAATAATTCCATTGTTGAGCGTGTCGAAGGCGTGTGACGCACCCGGACGTGACGTACTCACCGGTCTGTTGCTTCAATTTCACACGGTATCCACTTTGTCTCGCTCTGCGTTTTTTGCCCTCATTCTCGCAGGAATCCAAAGAGCTTGTCCTGAGCGAGGCGGCCGGGGGAAGCAGCAGCATGTCCACGGCGCTGGAGAGCTACATTAACCGTACGTTACCACGAGCTAACTGGCGAGCACGCTCCCTTTCAATCAATGATAGGCATGTAGCACCTTGCGATGACTTGTTGTGCTCGAAAGAGTGACATCTTGATTGATTCGTGTTAACGCGTAGCATTTAGCGGCTTCCCCCGTACGACGTACGGGTGTTGCAGTCACCGTGCCGGAGTCATCAGGTGGCTACGACGTCATCATCATATTCCTCGTGCGTGCAGGTCACGTAATTGGATGACTTGTGTCTTGCCCCTCAGGTACGGTCGCCATCGTGACGTCAGACGGCAGGATGATCGTGGTGAGTAGAAAGTGAATTCATGTCATCCTTCCCCGACAAATACACATTCAGATTATATTCATCATGTAAACCCTCATGTCTATTTTGTTTGTGTTGGTTTGCTTTTACGTTTAGGGCACGCTCAAGGGCTTCGACCAGACCATCAACTTGATCCTGGACGAGAGTCACGAGCGCGTGTTCAGCTCTGGTCAGGGCGTGGAGCAAGTTGTTCTGGGACTCTACATCGTCCGGGGGGACAACGTGTGCGTACGCAGCATGCTGTGTGTTTGTGTGAGTGTGAGTGTGAGAGAGACGTCATCACCATGTTATTTTCTGGTGCGTCGGACAGGGCTGTGATCGGCGAGATCGACGAGGAGACGGACTCCACGCTGGACCTGGGAAACATCCGAGCCGAGCCTCTCAACTCCGTCGTCCACTGATGTTCCAAACTCCAACTATGTGGCATTTTTGTTTTTTTTAAATTGTTCGTTTTATATGAGTCTTGTTCTGTTCAGTGACATTTTATGCTCGAATAAAGTTTGTGACTGATAGAAAAAATGCATATTGTCTGCAGTACAAGTGATCGTCCTTAATGCTGCAATATTTGTTGCCTTCATACGACTGCCAGTTTCCCGAAATCTGGTTGGTTAAGATGCGCATGTTCATTTTTTTTCATCCCTCATGAAATTACCCAAACGTGTAGTTGTATTGTGTAGGAGTGATTGTAAAGAAATGAGTTCAGATATACATCATCACAGTTATTTGGAAGTTCATTTATGCGTGAGTAATACAAATGAGAATGACTTATTGAAACCAACTTAGTTTTCTAAAATTTAGCAAAACAATGTTGAGGAAAATTATTTGAGACTTTTGGAGGAACCTTGTAGTCGACATTTGAGATTAGTTTTAGCTTAATTCTGAATGAATGATAAAAAGGAAAATATTCCTTTTTTAAAATCATTTGAAATCACCATTTGAACGCCCTTTTTTTCCCTAAGGCGCCCCATGTGCTCATTTTGAAAATGTGGCCCTCGAGCACAAAGATCACGTTGTCATCATTATGATTTGGCCCTCTGCAAAGGTGGCACCTAAAATGAGACCTCAGGTTCAATGACACGCGTCAATCGGGGAGCATCACTTCTTGCACTAAACTTTGCTTCTGCCAATCGGCGTCCGATCCCAGGACGAGAGCGCTCTGCAGTCGCTCGATCTGGTCTGGACTGGGCGCCGGCTGCTCATAGTGGACTCGCAGCCAGGGAGTGCCTGGGGGAAGAAAGAAAGAAAAAAAAAAGGGAATCAGAATCATGGCTCGGGCCTGAAGCCCAAAGTGTCGTGAGTGCGGGAACGAAACGGAAGGAAGGTTACCTCTGGTGATTTTCTGGCCGAGGGAGAGCAGTAGCTGCGCCCCCACACTGTGATTGACAGGCTGTCCGGCCTTGCAACGCCCTGCCCCTAACTTATGAACCACTTCCGCTAAAGTCAGACCGTCCACGTCTATCAGCACGCCTGCAAACACAATCACAAAACTGAATGGGATCCATTTTGGAACGGGGCCGTCGCATCAAACGTGTGGCGGCATTTCTACCGTCACGGCTAGCGGTCAGGTCGAGTTGATGCTCGGCTTTCTTCAGAACATTGAAGTAATCGGCGTGGGCGGAGCAAAGCGTCCTCGCAGTCTCCTTGGCGACGCCCTGCGCCTCCATCATGGCCTGGAACTTGAGAAGAGCGGCCCCACCAATCACAGCCTGGGAAATCTGCCGCCTGCCTTCCGATTGGTCGGCCGCCATACCGGTCATGGCCAGCAGGAGGCCGCCTGGTGGTCATTCGAGTCAACTGCTTTGAATTCATTGGCTTCGCTTTGAAATGTCTTGCCTTCTTTTGTTTGTCAACGCCTTTCGTCATTGTATTTTGAAGGGGGTGAAATGCACGCCACGAGTCGGGCAATGCCCCGTCGACAGCAATCGCACTCGTAGCATACGTAAGAAATGGCTTACCCAGCGTGGCGACGAGCTCCATGAGGTCTTGTGGGCCGTCCCCCTTGAGCAGGTCGAGGGCCTCGATGACTTCCAGACTGTTGCCCACGGCGCGACCGATCACGGCGTCCATGCGGCTCAACACGGCGCCCGTGCGCATGCCCAGGTCGTTGCCCGCCGTCACCTGCAACAGTCCGGCACTGAAGATACGAGCGCTCCGATGGAAAATGGAACGGAAGCAATCAGCACACCAGGAGACGCGCCAGCTCCCTGGCGCCGCCCAAGTCTTTGAAGAGAGCCGCCCGGCCGAACTTGACGTCCAGAACCAGCGCCGTCAGCGACTCGGCGCCTTTCTTGGAGATGATGGAGCCTGGGCGCGAGACACCGCGGCTGTTGGGTTATTGCGGACATTTTGCGGCGGGCGGGCGGGTGTGCAAGGGGCGCTACCCGTGATGAGCGGCAGGCTGTCCACCGTGCCGGTGATGTCGCGCGTGGCGTAGAGGATGCGGTCGGCGGGGACCAGCCTCTCCGTCTGGCCCACGATGCAACAGCCCACGCTGCTCAGGATGGCTCGCACCTGACAAATATTCGAGCACCAACATTGCCCAAAAGGCACTCTCTCGGAAATATTGTCATCATTCAGACATTTTCACATCGGGGTGTTTGCGCTTTTGTTGCCGTCGCTTGAGATACTGCGAATCGGTGCCATCTGAAATTCAATTTATGACACTGATTTGATTTCTTTTCAATGTTTAACATTTCTTAAAAGTAATTCAGTGCAAGCAAAAAAAAAAAAACTGACAAATATTCGAGCACCAACATTGCCCAAAAGGCACTCTCTCGGAAATATTGTCATCATTCAGACATTTTCACATCGGGGTGTTTGCGCTTTTGTTGCCGTCGCTTGAGATACTGCGAATCGGTGCCATCTGAAATTCAATTTATGACACTGATTTGATTTCTTTTCAATGTTTAACATTTCTTAAAAGTAATTCAGTGCAAGCAAAAAAAAAAAAACGTAGTCTGTTTTTAAAAATGTCAACGTAACAGAGTTTCATTTGATATTTTCAAACTGGATGAAGATACCTGCTCAGCTGAGTGGTGGATGTTAAAACCGGGGATGGACTCCAGTTTGTCCAGTGTTCCTCCGGTGTGGGCCAGGCCCCGCCCACTGATCATTGGTACCTGCCAAAAAAGGCATCAAAATACAGACAGAAAGTAAGAATTCTTCCATCCAGCCTCGCTGAGACTCAACGTTTCTTTCCGAAGCACCTTGCAGCCGCAGGCGGCCAACGCGGGCGCCAGGACCAGGCTGACTTTGTCACCCACGCCGCCGGTGGAGTGCTTGTCCACCATAAGCCCCGCCCACTCCTCGGGCCACGACATCACTTCCCCCGACAGCATCATCTCTTTGGTCAGCGTGGCCGTCTCCCGCGGGTCCATGCCCCGCTGCCAGATGGCCATCAGCATGGCGCCTAAGGGCGGAGTCAGGGCCGAGTCGTTCTACTCAGGCGTTCGAGTCGTTTGACCGGTCAGGACGAAAGCTGGACTCGGGCGGGGACTACATCAGGGGTGCCCGACCTTTTTGGACCAAAGGTCTACTTTTCGATCGACCCGTTACCGCACACGCGCGTGCCCTGGTGAGCAAGAGCCAGAACGAAAGAGAAAAATGAAGTCGACACCGTGGCAGTGATCATGGAGGACACGCGACTGGAAACACGTCGTTACTCCACAACTGCCAACAAGTGAATCTCAAGCATTGCGCCAAAAACATTCACGTCAACACGCCCTAAAGTGCGCCGCAACATAAACGTTTGTGAAAAAGCAAAGCCTCGCCGATCCCTGTTTTTGCGAACGTGAGACCGATAGGATGCTCAGGGTACAGTTTGCACGAACACAAAAAAGTGCTGATGGAGAAAGACAAACTTAATGTTATCATGTTTCAAAGTTTCATTTCAGTTTTTGCTTGATTGATCTTGAACGCGAAGGTTCTGACAGCTTGCACACAATGGAGCACACAGAAAAAAGGGCCAACTTGAGCTAAATGGAGCCACGGCCTTATTAACTGATAATAGACAGGAAGGTTCAGCTTCGGGAGGGCAGCACGATAAGATGTCCTTGAGTTTGTTGCAGGATCTCAATTCGTGCAAAATCTACCCATTGAATTAACAAGTTGAATTATCGGTTTATTGGGCACCCCTGGACTAAATGGTGAAAAGGGTGTGTGTGTGTGTGTGTGTGTGTGTGTAGAATTCTTAAAAGTAATTCAGTGCAAGCAAAAAAAAAAAAACGTAGTCTGTTTTTAAAAATGTCAACGTAACAGAGTTTCATTTGATATTTTCAAACTGGATGAAGATACCTGCTCAGCTGAGTGGTGGATGTTAAAACCGGGGATGGACTCCAGTTTGTCCAGTGTTCCTCCGGTGTGGGCCAGGCCCCGCCCACTGATCATTGGTACCTGCCAAAAAAGGCATCAAAATACAGACAGAAAGTAAGAATTCTTCCATCCAGCCTCGCTGAGACTCAACGTTTCTTTCCGAAGCACCTTGCAGCCGCAGGCGGCCAACGCGGGCGCCAGGACCAGGCTGACTTTGTCACCCACGCCGCCGGTGGAGTGCTTGTCCACCATAAGCCCCGCCCACTCCTCGGGCCACGACATCACTTCTCCCGACAGCATCATCTCTTTGGTCAGCGTGGCCGTCTCCCGCGGGTCCATGCCCCGCTGCCAGATGGCCATCAGCATGGCGCCTAAGGGCGGAGTCAGGGCCGAGTCGTTCTACTCAGGCGTTCGAGTCGTTTGACCGGTCAGGACGAAAGCTGGACTCGGGCGGGGACTACATCAGGGGTGCCCGACCTTTTTGGACCAAAGGTCTACTTTTCGATCGACCCGTTACCGCACACGCGCGTGCCCTGGTGAGCAAGAGCCAGAACGAAAGAGAAAAATGAAGTCGACACCGTGGCAGTGATCATGGAGGACACGCGACTGGAAACACGTCGTTACTCCACAACTGCCAACAAGTGAATCTCAAGCATTGCGCCAAAAACATTCACGTCAACACGCCCTAAAGTGCGCCGCAACATAAACGTTTGTGAAAAAGCAAAGCCTCGCCGATCCCTGTTTTTGCGAACGTGAGACCGATAGGATGCTCAGGGTACAGTTTGCACGAACACAAAAAAGTGCTGATGGAGAAAGACAAACTTAATGTTATCATGTTTCAAAGTTTCATTTCAGTTTTTGCTTGATTGATCTTGAACGCGAAGGTTCTGACAGCTTGCACACAATGGAGCACACAGAAAAAAGGGCCAACTTGAGCTAAATGGAGCCACGGCCTTATTAACTGATAATAGACAGGAAGGTTCAGCTTCGGGAGGGCAGCACGATAAGATGTCCTTGAGTTTGTTGCAGGATCTCAATTCGTGCAAAATCTACCCATTGAATTAACAAGTTGAATTATCGGTTTATTGGGCACCCCTGGACTAAATGGTGAAAAGGGTGTGTGTGTGTGTGTGTGTGTGTGTAGAAGACCTGCCTGTCTGGCAGTCCTGGATGCTTCCGCTGGTCAGCGCCTCCACGAAGGCTTTAATGTCACCATCGCTCAGCCTGCGGCCGTCCCGCTTCTTCCTGATCAGCTCCGGGATGGACAACATGGCCGCCTGGCGTGGACGCAGTGATACACACGTACATCAAAGTCAAGCAACTGAACCCTTGTCAAAAAGATGGAAACAGGTGACCCCCCCGCGCCTCCCCAAAATTTGAAAAAAGTGAACCGATCCCCCCAAAAAATAAAAACATTCACCCCCCCAAAAAAAAACAAAGACAGTGAACGGGATTTAAAGTGTGTTTAGAATGACCATGACACCATCAACAAACTTCGTCTTTATCCCGGCATGCAGCATGAGCAGAAACAACACCAAATGACTCAGTCACACATCAAAGTGAAAAAATATCATAATCATCATCATCTAAGAGTGCTTACGTGAGGATGGCGACTTCTCCACTTGACTCCGGGGCGAAAAAGTGATTTGTGAAGCGGCGAACTCTGACATTGACGCAGCCTGTCGGCCAATGGCAGCGGAGGGGGCGTGGTCAAGTGTCATTGACACCTGGCTCAGTTTCAATGATGTCTCTCTCCTCGGGCTTCAAGTCCGGACGGTGTTGCGTGTGAAATCCGTCTGATCGAGGCTCAGAAAGGAGGAGATTCAAACGAGCAGCTCATCAGCAAGCTCTAGAGAAGCCTGAAATGATCCTGGCCAATTGAATCAGGTGTGTTGGCGTAGGGAGGGATCGAAAAAAGGCAGGAGATGTTTCTCGAGGAAGCGGAGTTCCCTAGCCCTGGTCTAAAAGGACAACATTTTGTTGTGTCCCTCCACTCGTTTGGGATCAGCGAGAATCGCTGCTTCGCTCTGGGGAGGTGGAGGGGGCGGGGCCTGTGTTTTCCTGCAGTTGCCAATTATGTGTGGACTCTAACCTGATCTCATTCCTCTTCCTGAGAGATCATTTCTTTCCTCAATATGTAGTCGTGGCTTGCGAATTTGTTTTTCTGTCAATATACTCATTTTCCGGCGTTTCCTCCTGCCGCATCTCCCGCTAACTTTTTGCTTTGGGAAAGTGGTCAAGAATCATTCACTCACGGTTCAGCTTCAACGACTTCTCTCCTCGTCCCGTTTTTGTTTTTCCAGGACTTCAGCCGCAACTTGTGCCTGTGTGTGTGTGTGTGCGCGTGTGTCAAGAACAGTTCAGTGTATCCAAAGCAGTGCCTGAGGGCCTTGTAGTAGTAAATGAGCCTTTATTAGAAACATGACAACATGTTTGGTGTGTGTGTGTGTGTGTGTGTGTGAAAAGAAAGAAAAGAGCACAAAGAAACATCAAAGCCATCCAATCAATCAATCAATCAATCAATGAATGCGCGTGACCATTTGATGATACATGAGGACTTCATCACCAGCAGCAGTCTATTGCTTATTCATGAATTAGGAACACCTATTCAGCTACATTTTCTCTCTAGTCTACGTCCTAATGTTTACATGAGCTTAGCGCCCTTGAGCATGTTAGCCCATGTCCTGTTTGTTAACAGTGACCGACACTCCCAAGATGTCAGCGATGATGATCATTTGTTTCAACTTTTCTACTTCCTTGTGAATACGTTTCGGATGTTCTAGTGTGTGTTCGAAACCTTCAGAATGCACTGTAGGAGTCCTTCTTACTAGCGCGACTCGCATGCTAGAAGAAAAGGTTGCAGAGATTTCCACATATGGTCAGGTAAAAATCAAAACAAAACACACCCTTTCATGGCAGAGTGGAAACTCCTCAAACGACCTTGATGCCCGAATGCTTGATTGTTTTCCTTTTTTTCTTTTGGGGGGGGGGGGGTTGATTGATTTGCTTCAATTGATTCAAGGATGATGAAGTTACTTTCTGTACAAATGGCTTCCAACAACGTAGCACCATGTCCAGTCAACACGTACCACACACGTGCACGCGCGCAGACACACGCACAGTTCGACAATCAAGAACTCCGAGGCGTCGCCAAGGTGACGGGGGCATATTGTGAAACCCAAAGTGAAACGAGAATAAAGTCAAAACTAGCACACCGTTGCTCATAAAATCTAAATGAGGGAAATTAACCTGATGCACTGCAAGGCGTTTTCGGTTTAAAGGTCGGTCGGCATCCGATTTGTCGCTAAAAACCCTCTCAAGTGAATCCGACGTAACAGCCGAGGCCTGATTTTGCCACTTGAGAGTCCCTCGCTGTTAGCCATGAGTGTGCGCACATCATGGAGACAAAGGAGAAAAACAGCAAGCCCGACTTGACAGCCGGCGTGGCGGCCGCTTTCGAGTGCCCCGTTGTTGCAGAGAGAAAAACGCCCTTGGGATAAACATCGCGCATTTAAGACAAGCGACGAGGGCTTGATTTGTCGCCATTTTGAATCCTCACTTTATGAAGCGTGTGTCAGATATTTTCACTTGACAGGGACTTTAACGTGCCACCTGACACCAAACGCCGAAATGTGTTGCTTGCATCCAGGCCATTATATTCAGAAATATTTAAAATCAAGACTCATATTTTTCAGTACATATACTAATAAATTGGAGGGAAAAAAAATATATAAGATCACATCAGCTCTCTGATCGCCAACACAGTCTCGGCAAAGCTAACATCTTAGCATTGGGGCTTGCAACTATCAACTGGGTGCACGAGTTGACTTACGTTTTCTTGTGAAGTCGATGAGAACTGGTCGATGGACATGACGGACAGAGGAGACGGATGACGTTACGAATGGAGTTGCTCAACACACACATGATGGATGGATGGATGGGACGGACTTGACAGATGGACCTGATGGATGACGGTGACGGATGGAGACGACGGTTAGGCATTTTCAATCAATCGCGACCATCAATCAAGACAAGTGGTCACGTCTATTGACGGTTGCGGTGGAAAGGATTTTAGACCCCCGTGGCGATCAAAGAGCTGAGTTGAGAAAAGCAATAGAGAGGAGACCTATGGCGGCGACGGCGGTCAAGTGGCGGCGTCCAACAGTTGCCTGAGGGCCCGCTCGATGTTGATGCGGTGGCCCAGCCGGGTGACGCCCAACTCCACGTAGTCGTCCTTGGTGAGGGCGGGAAGGTGCGAGCCTTCTATCTCGTGCTCCTGGAAGCGCTGGCGATGCTCGGCCAGCCCCACGCTCTCCAACCAGTCGCCCACGTCGTACTTGTTCCACAAGCTGAGCGGGCGCTGCCTCCAGGGCCTGAGCGCCAGCAGGGGGCCGCTGAGGACGGGCGACGGGCACGGGGAGGCGTGCGGGGAGGGCGAGGGCGAGCGGGAGCGGGTCCGGGCGCTGGCGCTGCGCATGACGAAGCGGACCTCCTTGGGTTCCGACGGCAGGCTGAGGCTGGACGACTTGAGGATGGTCAGACCGCGGCCCGAGCTCAGGTCCGGGCGCTCCGAGCAGGGCGAGGGGGAGGAGCCCAGGCCCGGCGGCCTGTCGGAGGGGGAGGGCGACGGGGAGGGGCTGCGGCGGGTGACGGGGTAGCGGCTTCCCGGGCGGACCGTGTAGGTGGCGCCGTATCCGCGCTGGGAAATGGTGTGCAGCTCGCCCAGACTGGAGAACAACCTGCGACATCACGTCACTGTTAGCATCGAGCAGGTGTTAGCATGTTCGCCTGACAACTTGAATGTGCTTGCTGCTAGAACTGCTGAGCAGACGTGCAGGGAAACAAAAATAAATCAATAAAAAGGGGAACAATTTCGGAGACTTGGGAGTGACTCTTGAAAATTGTGCGAGAAGTGCTTGTTGGTAGAGGGGAAAGCGGGAAAGTCAGGTCCAACAACAAGAGGATCATTCCATAAGGAGCTTTGGCACACTGGTCGCCATCGAAAAACGTCGCGGCAGTCAGTTAGCTTTGTGAAGCGACGCAAACGTTAGCTGGATACACGGTCGAGTAGTGGTTAGCGACTGTTAGTGTCGTAGAGCGAAAACAAGAATTGTTTACCAGAGATAAAAACCTACGATTTGCTCTCTCCACTCTCCACACATCTGCAAAAACACAAACCGCACTTTTGTTACAGCGCACGCGTACACGCCTCAGCCTATACCCTGGTTGGCGCAAACATGTGACATAATGGACACACGCGCACGCACGCAGGTAACGTACCTGGCCCCACCTACTGGGGACCTGCGACCGGGGTCGAGAGGGCTTGGCTCCTCCCCCAGGGAGTGGCTATCTTTGTTGAGGAGGTGGAGCCTGTTGGCAAGGTCCAGGCCCGACTCTGCCCTGCCGCTCAACTCCAGGGCCGAGGCGGACCCTTGGCCGCCCAGTGCGGCGGGACGGCTCTCCTCTTCGCCGCCCCCCCACAGCTTGGAGCGGCGCTGGAAGAGGTAGCGCGGCTGGCGGGTGGCCGACGGGGAGGCGGGCGAGGACGGGAGCAGCTCGCTGTCGGACGACTGCTTGAGCAGGGGGTCCCTGAGGGCCGAGCGGCCGCGGCCAATGGGTGAGCGGAGGCGGGGTTTGAGAGCCAAGGAGGGGTGGCCGGCGGGTGGCGAGGAGGGGGAAGGCGGTGCGGGCGGCGACGCCAAGCTGATGGAGGGAGGCAGCGAGCCGTCACGAGGCTCCTCGTCGTCGTCCTGGCCCGTATCGCCCTCGCCGCTCCGCCGCGGGGTTACGGCGAGGGGGGACGGCGGGGCGGCGAAACCAGGGGGCGGTGTCACCAGGCCGATCCGGCGGAGCTCCTCTCTTGTCTCCTCGTCGCTGGATGACAACAGTGCGGGCGGGAGGGTCACCGTATAGGCACCGCCCTCTTCCTCTGAGCTCCCTATGGTCAGGCTTCTCCGCCTGTCAATCAAAGCCGGGTGGCTCTCATTGGCCAGGTTTGCCAGTGGGACGGGTCTCCAGCGTTCAGGGGACGGCCCGGCGGGCGATGTCACTCCGCCCTCCGCCTCGGGACGCTCCACCTGTCCGTCGGGGAAGAGAGGCGGAGCTACGCGCTTGTGGCGCAGCTCGGGGCTGCTCTGAGGGGTGGTACGCTTGCTTCGCTGCTCGGGGCTGGTCTGCGGGGTGGTGCGCTTGGAGCGGGGTTCTGGGCTGCTCTGCGGGGTTGGGACCGGGGTGCGCTTATGGCGGCCCTCCGGGCTGGCGGCCGGGGTGGGGAGAGGGGTGGCGGAAGCCGAGGCATGTTTGGGTCGCGGCTCGGGGCTCGGCGTGCGGGCGGTGAGCGCTCGTTCCCGTGCGGCCAGAGCCAGGGCGAGTGGAGACGAAGGATCTGAGGAGGGGAGACATTTTTGACTGTGCTCCAAATGACCTTTGTCATCAAAATTCTTACCCAGAGGCTTGCCGGTCAGCGGGTGGAGGAAGGTGTGCGGGGTCGGCGAGGGCGAAAGGACGGGCGCGGGAGGCGGAAGCTCGCCCAGGTCGTCCATGGAGTGACTCTGCGTCAGGAGAGGGGGCGCCTGGTTGTCGGAGACGGCGCCCTCTACGGATAGGAAGAGGGAGGAGCGGCGGCCGTGGACGCGAGCGCGCTCCGACAGAACCTGCTGCTGGTAGAGCTCTGCCCTGCTGGGGCTGCCTGGGGCGCTGGCGTCCGACTTTGAGTCCTGGTCTTTGAGCCCTGTGCACAAGACACGGAGGTGACGGAAACCTTGCCTCAAGACGACAAGCTTGATGGCGCGCCGAGGAAACAACCTCTCCTTGGGTCTAGAACCGGGGCAGCAACAACAACCTACCTTGCTCCTCCACAGGAAGTTGTTTGAGCAGAGGTGACTTCCTCCTCTGAGGTTTGGCCGGGGGGGCCTGCTGTCCCACGTTGGCGTATGGATTTTCGATGGGTCGTCCTCTGCGGCGTGACAGCGGCGAGTGTCCGAGGGCGGCGGTGTGGAGAGACAGCGTGGAAGTGTGCGAGGGGGACACGTGCATGGCGGCGGCGGCGGCGTGCAACTCGGGCTGCAGCTGAGGCGTCGTATCCTGCAGGATGATCATGGAGCGGGCCTTCCTCTGGCGCTCGGCGTGGCTCCTGGACGGCGTGTCCGAGAGCTCCTGCAGCCTGGGCTCGGCTCCCGGTTTGAAGCTGGACCGGGTCAGGCCCTCCCCTCGGGCGGGGGGAGGGGGCGGGAGGAAGGAGGGGGGC